TTACCGCTGTCCCATCAGGGTACTTACAACTGCATCTTAAACATCCACAAAAGTTCCATATAAAACAATGAGACTAAGAGAAAGTTAAACTTACAAATACAATAAATGTCAAATTAAATATTTTGGTTATATTTAAGTTGTAATATTTTATATTAATAAATGTGAATTATAACATTTTCCCCTCAAATGTAGTATACAACTGTTAATTTCGAGTGCCCACTTTCTTTTTTAAGTAATTAACTGTAACTCTTTACCTTTAATTTCATTTATCACTCTAATTAAGTAAAAATACACTATTCTTTCAACTATCTGTAAACATTTTCCAGTTACTGCACGAGATGAATGCTTTTGATTTTACAAGTATATTAATCGTACTTTATAAAAACTACCTTAATATGCTTATGCTACACGGCAAATATCCAACCGCATGAAAGTGCAATGCTGTTACGAGTGATACATTTGTCACAATCCCGTCTTACAAAGTATATTTGTGTAGGAAAATTGTAAAACGACGAAAACCCGAAAGACAATAATCAAAACAAGTATTACAAAAAATATCGCTAAACAAAAGAGCTATGTAGGGATGAAGGTATACATTCACTTAATCCGCCTAATGATCACATAGCAGACTAAACCGTATCGACTTTAGATGAAGAATAAAATCCCTACATTACTGGCTTCCTCACCTTGTCTGTGGAAAGCTTGGTGTTTGAACAGAACCTCGGTTTTCATCATTATACCTTTCCTTCAGTTAACTTTAGAACACTTACTACTTTTATGAATATTTTACAATTGAGTAACATTTTACGGTTGGAAATTCTGGTTCTATTTGTTTTGCCAGTGTGGAAGCTAGTAATGTAGGGATTTTATTTTTCATGTAAAGTCGAGACGGCTTAGTATGCTATGTGATAATTAGCCGGATCAAGTGATATGTCCACTTCAATCCCTATTTTGTTTGGTTCTTTTTTTCAAGTTCAGTAGCCAGCTCTACATAGCTTTTTTATTTGGCGATAATGTTTTTCCTGATACTTGTTTGTTTACTTTTTATAAGATGGTGTACGTAGGTTACTAGGTTACAGAGTGTATTCTAAAGCTTTATAAGTTTTGCATAAAATATTAATAATATAGGTAGTCAAAGATCGTGAAGACTGTTTTCCTCTATCAAATGATGATAAAATTACAGTTACTGCTAAAAAAGTGGGTAGGCGCTAGGCCTGTTGAACAAATATGACGATGTACGAAAATATGGTATCTCGGTCGGTTCGCCCGTTTCCGACTTTGAAACGCTGCAGATAGCTGATAGAGCGACTATGCCAAGTAGCTCTTCATACCTAGATTTTGATGACGTTTGTATCGCTTTAATACGGGCATCCGTGCCATCCCAACATATGAGATGCTAGCGCACTCTCAGATAACAAATCCTTCATTGTTCACCATGTATGCAGAAAAACTTGAACTGCAGGGTTTAAGGCAGTAATTAGATGCAAAACCCACCCAAAGCCAGTTCAAGGCAATTCCCCCAAAGTGAAGGCTATGCGATAAAGCTGGGCATATCTCCAGGTAACATTAACAATATAATAAACATGGAGTTTAAGTTAACGATAGATCACAAGTCAGAATTTACACCATGAAACCAATGGTTGTTTTTAAGAAATATTAACAAATAAGCTGAAATCAAAGCAAGCCCATTTTACTACATTTCTCTCCTTTGATGAAGTTTCAATGGACGTTTAAGCCTTTGAACTGCTTAAAAATAGTCTTGGAAGGTAATGTTCAAATACAGTGATGTCTACTGAAGGTTTATCAAAATATATGGTTTAAGACTGACCTTCCTATCCTTTGTTTCTTCATTTGTTTTCAAATATTCCTGCAAAAACCACTCAAAGGCTATATGCAATAGCTGTCCTTAATTTTGAAATAATAGACTAAAGAGAAAGCAGCTAGTCAACAGTACTCATCACCAATTCTTGTCAGACCAAACAGAGGGATTTGACCATCATCCTTATAATGTACCCAAAAGTGTGGAGATTTTTTTTTCAATAATTGATGCAAACAATGGACTCAAGATCCATAGTATGGCACACTAACTACTGGGCCACTTAGCCTCTCTCCATCATTCACTCGTTCAATGGAAATAGTGGTGTTTGGGAAACGTGACCAGTAGATTCAGCACAACTGACAATGAAGGAAGTAGTTCGAAGAGTACTTGGTATATCATTTTTATAAAATCAATTAAAACTCAATATAACATTTTTAATAAACATAAAACACGAATTTCCAGAAATCTGTTATAATAGCATTACAGTATTTTTTGGTATTGTTCTCTGCCACTAGTGATTGTGGTTGATCTGAAATCTCATGAAAAAAAAAGTCACTCTCGATGTAACATCTTATTAAATAAGAAAAACCTTATTTTGTATTTAAATTTCATACTTTTAATTTTAATTGTATTTAAAATGTCTATATTTTTACTTTGAATCAGAATTAAAGTTCATCAACTTTTGAAATCGAGCTTAAATAAACAACCATTTTAAACATGTTTGTCAGCTCAGACATTCTATATATATTTACTGTAGCTTTCACATGCAATACAAACTCAATAAATAGGAGACAAGGAGCACTACATAATCTGAACTTATTTATTTCTACTTGTTCTTGTATGTAAATATCTTAAAAATGATTTTGTTGAAAATGATGTATTCCAAATTCCAAAACAAGATAGGTGTACAACAATAGACACTGTTTCACTTAGAAACTGTTCAAAATGTTCACTAAAGATGAATCAAAAATAGATTTGAAAAATAAACAATTGAAGAGAATTTAGTGTAGTGAAAACAAAATACTAAAATAATAATTTAATTTTAAATCTCAATACTAAAAATAAAGTCTAATTAACAATTCAATGAATTTTTCTGCATGTGATTTAAAGTTACAAGAGAATCAGGAACTTTTGTGTCCTAACAATAGATTGGCTTTATTTTTATAAATATTTTTTTTATATGTACAGTTTACTTTCTATATTTACAATCAAAGATTTTCATCTAATTTTCTTGTCTGATTTACTGAGGTATTAAATACTGAATCCAAAAATACATAATTTCAGAAATGTCCTGAAATGCATGTCAAAAGGTATTTAAACAAACTAAATGGTGAATGGCATGAATGAATAAATAAAAGATTAATAATGCATACACTAAAGAATTTGCAAAGAACACACTACATTATGTATGAAAGTAATCATTAATTCATGAGAAGAAAAGATTATGTTAAGCCAAAGCTTATCTTTAATTGTTTTTAAAAAATAGTATCACTACTCTTAACACTATAATGTTGGCTATTATTAAATACACTACAACTTTCATAACCATGTGAATATGTTAAGCATTGGCTTTTGTGTAACAAGCACACTCATAAAGAAAACATGCAGGTATAGGTGATATAGCACAGTTCATCATCTCTCAATTTAAGCATGTATGTTTCTTAAAATGTTTATGTGTGTATGAATATAAATACACACATATTATACTGTAAAACTAAACTAAGGCAATGCCAGTTTCAGTTACTGAAACAAGTTATAACTTACATTTTAACAGTTACATAGTATTGCAGTTTACTTCTATTAAGTGCCACACTACCCAACAATAATTAGCAGAGGCCAGAACAGAACTTTTTAATTATAAAGGGAAAGAAAAGGTAGGAGACATATTCATAATGTGGCACATCAAATCTTCAATAATAATTTCAAAATCTGGTTCTAAAAACTTTTAAAAGGCTATATTATAAAACAGAAGAAAAAAAACTTTATTTCACTAAAAATTATGAATGGATTTAAAACATAAAAATGAGCTGAGCAAGTTCCTCAATAAAAAAAAAAAAAGATAAAGCAAAAAATTAAAAGATATGACTCAATCAAAAATGGGAGTAAAGTGAGGTAAACATTGCAGCAAACAGAAACACAAATTCCACAAGCAAGAAAAATTAGATTCCTTAGCAAATGGTAGCCTCCTATCTGAAGTGGCTTTTTGATTAGCTTAATATCAACTTAACCTTCTGTTTTATAAACAAGAGTATTAAGGAGTTTTGTTTTAGCTCCAAGTGCAACTGCAGTTACTCTAATTTAATTGATTTCTTGCACTCATTAATGCTTATAATTATTTATTACTACAGCCCAAACAAATCTTGAAATGTCCAAAACTATAATGAAAGATGAAACATAAACAACATACAAATCATAAAAGTCAATTATACTAACTAATCATTATAAAAAGGCTTGAATAATCACAATAATCTTGAAAAAATAAACACACTTTTAACACATACAACAGAAAAACTAACACATTTTTAACATACAATAGAATAATGTACATATTAACACATTTTTAACACATACAATAGAAAAGCATGTAGGATTATAAAATGTAAATTACAACTAGAGAAATTAAGTAACAAAAGAACATTCAGAAGGTAGATTAGGAAAGTCTACAGCACTGTCTATTTTACCAAATTTTTTAAATTGTCATATCTGTTTATCCAGCGAGAAAGAATAACCTTTGATGAAAGCAGCATCAAAGCAGTAAAAACAAATTTAAACTACCATCATAATTTGTTAGATGAAGTCAGCTGTTAAAGGAAACTCCTAAAAGAGAATTTGAGAAGAGAACTAAAATTAACTAAGCAACCACTTCAAAGAAATCTTAACGACAGGTATATGAATTAAACACCAATAATAACTGTTATAAAGAAACAGAAATACACAAAACCATTAAGAATATTCATCGAAAGTACAACTACATTAGAAATTAGCTAAAATTATTTAGGACACTCATAAGGAAGAGAAAATTAGTATAAAAAAAGACAACCCCACTACAAACACTCCACAAAATGTGAAATCCTTAACATAATTATGCAAAAACAATTAAGAGCACTCCAAGAGGAAAGAAATTATAACAGAAATAAACAACAAGAACTAAAAAAAAAAGGAAAATTATAATGAAAAACAAAAAAGGAAAAATATACTAGAAATTATATGTTTTGAATTTTGAGCAATGCTACTTGAGGGCTATCTGCACTAGCAATCTCTAATTTTGAAGTAATAGACTAGAGGAAAGGCAGCCAGTCAATGCCATCCATTGCCAATTCATGAGCCAATCTAACCAAATAGTGGGATTTGACCATCATTCTTATAATGTATCCATAGCCCCAAAGTGTGGAGCATGATGTTTTTCCCTTTTTTTTTAGGGGGGGGGAGTGTAACAGAGTGCGAACCATGGAACCTTAGATCCACAGTTTGACATGCTAATCACTGGTCCATGCTCAGCCTATAACAGAAATAAGAAACAACCATTAAGGGATTTCCAAAAGAGAGGGCAACCAAACAACAAGAAAGACAAAATATAAAAGAAGTGAGTAACAGCATTTGGAAGCCATCAGAAACAAAATGAGACTATAAGTCATGTAAGGAACAACCATTAAAAACTATAACAAAAGTAAATGGCAACTATTAAGAGCAATGGGTGACTTGGGAAGCAGTAAGAGTGGTAAGCAACAATTATTAAGGGCTCTCCAATAGGGAAAACTACAATGGACAAACAAGCAACAACCATTAAGAGCACTACAAAAAAAAAGGAAAGATATAGCAGAAGTAGGCAACAATTATTATGAGCATCACACAGGAATGAATACTATAACAGATAAACAAAGAAACAACCATTAAGAGCACTCAAAAAGAAAGGAAAAGTATAGCAGAAGCAGGCAACAACTATTATGAGCACTACACAGGAAGGAATACTATAACAAATAAACAAACAACCATTAAGAGCACCACACAGGAAGGAATACTATAACAGATAAACAAGCAACAACCATTAAGAGAACTCCATACAAAAGGAAAAGTATAGCAGAAGTAGGCAACAATTATTATGAGCACCACACAGGAAGGAATACTATAACAGATAAACAACCATTAAGAACACTCAAAAAGAAAGGAAAAGTATAGCAGAAGCAGGCAACAACTATTATGAGTACTACACAGGAAGGAATACTATAACAGATAAACAAACAACAACTATTAAGAGCACTCCATACAAAAGGAAAAGTATAGCAGGAGTAGGCAACAACTATTATGAGCACTACACAGGAAGGAATAACATAAGAGATAAACAAATAAACAACCATTAAGAGCATCAAAAAGAAAGGAAAAGTATAGCAGAAGCAGACAACAACTATTATGAGCACTACACAGGAAGAAATACTATAACAGATATGCAAGCAACAACTATTATGAGCACTACACAGTAAGGAATACCATAACAGATAAACAAACAACAACCATTAAGAGCACTCCGAAAGAAAGGAAAAGTTGGGAGTAAATAATAAAAAATTTTCATTGGGAAAGAAAACTATTAGAAACAGAAGTAAAAACCATTAAGATCAGTCCAAAAGAAAAAAAAACTAAAACATGAATTACAAAGACCCACAAAGAGCTCTCAAAGAGAAGGGAAACGTACAGTGAAGCAAACAGCAACCATTAATAGAATGCCAAAATAGGATTTGAAATTAGTAAAAGAAGTGAGTAACAATCATTAATGTCTCTCTGAAAACAAACCAAAAAAACTATAGAATAAACATACAACCACCTTAGTAATAAAACTTCACATGACAGAAAAACTATAAGATAAATAAGTTATCAATCATTAAAAGCATTTTAAAAGAAAGAGAAACTTTAACTGAAGTAAGCAACAATTCCCAAGCATATTCCAATAAAAGTTTGAAGACATTTTAAAGAGTGTAGACTATAAGATATTTGTTTACAACTTGAGAACATAATTAAACTTGAAATGCACTGAAGTAAAAATATTATTGGAAACACCATGAACTGATACATATATTATCTAACAAATGATAGCAAACTTTTGTGTGACAAATGTTGTTTCCTGAAAAAAACAAAAAGGAATAATGTTCACATTTTATCTTAAAAGTGGATCTCAAACTATCCAGATAAAATGCAAAGGAGTATATATTTACAATAATGTAATGTAGGAACAGAATTCAATAATTTGTCTATATACCTACTTTTGTTTTGCTACAAACACAATTACACCAATAATTGTTATAAGAGAGACATTCATAGGAAACTAAATGTATCAAAGGCCTGATCCTATTCAAATAATAATAACAGTAAATTGAGAAGAGGGCTGTTTTTTTAACTTATAGGTTTATAAACTTAACATAATAGTTTACTTTAAACTAATCCCAAAATATTTAGACATTTTATTTTGCAAAGACATTGCCAGGAATCAGACAATCAGCACCAAAAATTTTTAGGGAATAAAAGGTTTTACAAATAACTTTCACTTTACAAAATCTTTATTGAAAACTAGACCATGTATCTGAATAATAGCTAAGTATACCGTCCTTCCACCAAAGCTTGTAATAATGGTCCAACCTGTATCAAAAGAAACACAAAATTATATGACTGTTAAACCTGTAGTGTTTGTTATCGTGTCTTCAAACCTAACAGAGTTCTTTGATACATTTATACTATTAAGGTATACTAAAATAGTAAAACATAAGAATCATATCCAAAGAATGTCTTTAGTCAAAGGGGATAATCTTTTTTTTGAGCATGTACAAGAAAGCAGCAGATATTTTTTTTTAAATATTTTCTAAATATTCCATCTAAAGTTTCAAGTTGTTTCTTTGTTCTATTTTGTTTAGCCTTTAATAAGAACCAACCATTTCTATTCATCTAATCTAGCAAGGTTCTACATATAAAATTCAAAAACACAACCACTACACTGGCTTTAACACACAACATAACATAATGTTTTGGGACAACATAGGACCTAGTGGTCCATCTCGGCTATTCCATCCTCTAAACTAAATTAAAACTAATAATAATAAATAAATTCTTAAAAAATCTTAAAGCAAGATTTAAATCTTATCATTCATATACTTATCAAGCTTTCTCCTAAACTCACTTAAATTTACTGTCTCCACAACATCCAAAGGCAGCCCATTCCAAAGGCCAACCACTCTGTTAGAAAAATAAAACTAAAGATGATTCCTACCCTGCTAAAATGTATACTTGTGTCCCCTATTCCTACTATTCTCTCTGTTCAGTATGAAAAAAGATGATGCATCAACACTATCAATTCCCTTTACAATCTTAAACATTTCAATCAGATCCCCCCTAACTCTTCTTTCTTCAAGAGAAAATAATTTGAGATTTCAACCTCCCCTCCTAATGACAACCCCTTCATCCCAGGCACCAATTCTAGTAACCCTTCTCTGAACCCTTTCCATCAATTCAATGTCTTTCCTAAGGTAAGGAGCCCAAGACTGAACACAATATTCCATGTGTGGCCTAACCAATGACCTGTACAAATGAAATTATAACCTCTTTAGACTTGTATTCAATATTTCTGTAGATACAACTTGGAATCCTATTTGCCCTACCACTAGC